TTTTTTCTAGCTTCAAAACACTCTCTAAGCCCTCTCCAAAATTCCACCAAGATCCTCAACTAAATTCAAACATCTCAAGCTCTAATTCCGGATTCAAGACTCAATCTCAAGCTTCAATTCTCCATTCCAATCTTCATCAAGGATTCTCCAAAGTTGAGGTATGTGGGTTGATTGTGGAAACCTTCCTTTCCACAAGTCCAACCATTTATCCTCTATTTCTACTTCAAGTTTATGGGTCCTTATTATTATTTATGAACTCTTGAAGTATGGAATTACTACTACACACCCTATTATGGTCTTTTTTGCATATTATCATGAAATGGAATTATTATGTGATGTTTATGGTTTTCATGCTTCCATGATCAAATTATGAAGGTTGATATATATATGTATGTTGTTGGTGGGCTGATTTATATGGATTTTGGAATTGGTTGGTCTTAGTACTCTTGAAATACATAATTTTATTCACATGAACAGTAGCCCACCATGTGTTTGATAAAATGCCCATTTATAACTCTTAGGAAATGGAAGGTCCAATGTACGTCCTATGAGTCGGATGGTTATAAAATTACTGAAATGATGATGAAATGGACACATGTATATGATTTTGTCTGTATAAGTGTTGTGAGTCGACCAAGCCCAGCTCGGAGGATTCTAGGCCCGGGTAACCGTATCGAGGGGTTGGTACCTTGGTTGCCCAGTACGGGGGTTAGTAGGCCCCGTATAACCATATCGAGGGTTTGTACCTTGGTCCCTAACTCGGGGGTGGTAGGCCCGGGTAACCACATTGAGGGGTTTGTACCTCTTTCGCCTCTCCAAGGGGGTGGTAAGCCTTTGAAATACTATATTGATGGTCACTCGCCACAACATGTACTACGCCCCCACTAAATATGATTTTTATGTAAGCATCATTAGACATATCATCTTATTAATATGCTATCTATCGGGTATGATTATTCATTTTGCCTATGTTGTCCATCTATTGTTCCATTGCATTGCATCTCATATACTTAGTACATTCAAACGTACTAATGCATACTCTATGCCTACATGATGTCACCGTGTAGGAACCGGAGCATCGCTTGACCATCTTCCTCCGCGTGGCTAGTACGATTTTCTATCGAGGTTATTGGTGAGTCCTCCATTCCGGGAACGTTGCCTATGATCTCTTGCGATGTATAAGACTTTTCCCTTTTTTTTGTTGTGTATTGACTATGAGGGTGAGCCTGGTAGTTTTCCTTGGCCCCCGCTAAGTACTTATGTTTAGAGGTGGTGTTGGACAAGTTGTGTATTATGCTTGAGCTTGACTTATCTATGGTATTTATGTATCATTCCTTTTTTCTCTTGCTCCCTTAGTCCCGATTTCCCCCTTGATTATGCTTATCGCTTATGGTCATTTAATTGCTTCCGCGACCAAGGATATGTAATGATACGCTATGAGGCTTGTTCGGGGTTCCTTTGGGTTACCCATTCGCCGGTGACGCCTAGGCCCTAGGCTTGGGTCGTGACAAACTTGGTATCAGAGCACTAGGTTGATAGATCCTCGGAGTCCAACCCACCGCGTTGATTAGAGTCCGATTCATGGTTGTGTTGTGCACCACAACTATGAGTAGGAGGCTATGAGACGTTTTAGGAAATGCTTCCCTTCTCCATGTTCTAAGTCGTGCTGTAGAGTTGAATTAAGGTCTTCCCTAACGGTTGTTCTTTGCTTTGCTAGATCATGCCTAATACAAGAGGAAGACGAGCCCGCGCACCCGAGGAACAACCGACCAATGGGGATCTTCGGGATGCCCTTACTTTATTTGCACAAGCTATGGCTAATCAAGCCAACCACGGGGCCCACCCCTCAGGCTCCTACCCCGGCATCTCGGGTGAGAGACTTCGTGCGGATGAATCCCCCGGAATTCTATGGGTCTAAGTTAGATGAAGACCCTCAAGAGTTCATTGATGAAGTCCACAAGATATTAGCTATCATGGGCATGAGGTCAGAAGATAAGGCGGAGTTGGCGGCCTACCAACTAAAAGGAGCGGCCCAAATATGGTACAACCAATGGAAGGAAGAGAAGGGGGCAAACTATGTGGTGCCTTGGGAAGAGTTCAAAACGGCTTTCCTTAATTGATTCTTTCCTCTTGAGCTTAGGGAAGCCAAATTGGTGGAGTTCATGAATTTAAAACAAGGGTCTATGAGTGTGAGGGAGTATGCCCTCAAGTTTAACCAACTTTCAAGATATGCTCCACACTTGGTTGCCGACTCACGGTCTAGAATGAACAAACTCGTGATGGGTGTGACCGACCTAGTGAGTGAAGAATGCCGGTCCGCAATGTTGATTAGTGACATGGACTTGTCCCGCTTGATGGTCTATGCCGAACTGACATGGACTTGTCTCGCTTGATGGTCTATGCCGAACAAATGGAGGAGGAGAAGTTGAGGAAGAGGAGGGGTCATGAGGCCAAGAGGGCCCGTTTTGAGGGCAAGTTCCAAAGTCGAAGGGGAGGCCGGTTTCATCAAGGTCAAGGGTCTTCTCATGCGCCCCATAGGGGGTTTGCCAATGAAGTTCCAAGGGCCCAAGGTGTTGGTGGTATGGGTCCTGTTGATGTATGTCCGAAGTGTGGTAAGGGCCATAGTGGCCTGTGCTTGAGAAATACCGGTGCTTGCTACAGTTGTGGGGAAATGGGGCACAAGGCAATGGATTGTCCTCAAAATCGCAACAAGGGTAAGGAGGTCCGTCCGCAAGGTGCCAATGTGGTTCCTTTCGGGAGAGGGGCCCGACAAGATGGTGCCCCAAGGCACATTCGATTTTATGCTTTGCATGGGAGGCAAGGGGTCGATGAAGTCCCCGACGTCGTTACCGGTATGTTGAAAATTCTTTGACTTTGATGTATATGCATTAATTGATCCGGGTGCCTCTCTTTCTTTTGTCAGCCCCTTTGTTGCTAAAAAGTTTCATGTTGAGCCCGACGTGTTGTGTGAGTCATATAAGGTGTCTACTCCTATTGGTGCATATATTGTTGCTAGGAAGGTCTATAGAAATTGTCCTATTTGCATCCTGCATAAAATATTGCCTTGTGATCTTGTTGAGTTGAACATGGTCGATTTTGATGTTGTTCTTGGGATGGATTGGTTGCATGCATACTATGCTTCCATTGATTCTAGAACCCGTAAGGTCAAGTTCCAATTCCCAAGTGAACCCATTCTTGAGTGGGAAAGCCAAAAATGTGGTAGTCAAGGGTAGGTTCATCTCTTTCATTAAAGCCCATAAGTTGATCTCTAAGGGGTGTCTCTATCACCTTGTGAGGGTTAGAGATGTGGAGTCCAAAACCCTTCTTATAGAGTCGGTTCCGGTCGTAAATGAATTCCTTGATGTCTTTCCTAATGACCTTCCCGGTGTTCCTCCTGAAAGGGAAATAGATTTTTGCATAGACCTCCTCCCCAATACTCAACCCATTTCTATTCCCCCTTACCGGTATGGCCCCGGCGGAGTTAAAGGAGTTGAAGGAACAATTGAGGGACTTGTTGGAGAAGGGGTTTATTAGGCCTAGCCAATCACCATGGGGTGCACCGGTGTTGTTTGTCAAAAAGAAAGATGGGTCCCTTAGGATGTGTATTGATTACCAGCAACTCAGTCACCGTCAAGAATAAATATCCTCTTACTAGGATTGATGACTTGTTCGACCAATTGCAAAGGACTAGCCACTTCTCTAAGATTGATCTTCGGTCCGGGTATCATCAAGTGAAGGTGAGGGAGGGTGACATTCCCAAGACAGCCTTCCGGACTAGGTATGGGCATTATGAATTTGTGGTCATGTCCTTTGGGTTGACCAATGCACCGGCTACCTTCATGGGCCTAATGAATAGGGTGTTTAAACCCTACCTTGATTCCTTTGTTGTGGTCTTCATTGATGATATTTTAATCTATTCGCATAGCGAGGAAGAACATATGGGTCACTTGAGGGTTGTGTTGCAAAGATTGAGAGAGGAGAAGTTGTATGCCAAGTATGAAAAGTGTGAATTTTGGTTGAGGGAGGTTGCCTTCCTAGATCATGTGGTGTCGGGGGATGGTATTAAGGTAGACCCTAAGAAGACCGATGTGATTAGAAATTGGCCTAGGCCATTGACCCCGTCGGATATTAGGAGCTTCTTGGGCTTAGCGGGTTACTACCGGAGATTTGTGAATGGGTTTTCTTCTATTGCTTCTCCCATGACTAAGTTGACACAAAAGAAGGCTAAGTTTGAGTGGACCGACGAGTGCGAAAGGAGTTTTCAAACCTTGAAAGATAAACTTGTGTCCGCTCCTATATTGTCACTACCGGATGGGCTTGAGGGATTTGTTGTGTATTGTGATGCTTCTAGAGTTGGCTTGGGTTGTGTCCTAATGCAAAATGGTAAGGTGATAGCCTATGCGTCTAGACAACTCAAAGTGCATGAAAAGAACTATCCTACGCATGATCTTGAATTAGCCGCGGTGGTGTTTGCTTTAAAGATTTGGCGTCATTACTTGTATGGGGTACATGTTGATGTGTTCACCGATCATAAGAGCCTCCAATATGTCTTCACCCAAAAAGATCTCAACTTGAGACAAAGAAGGTGGCTAGAATTTCTTAAAGATTATGATATGAGTGTGCATTATCATCCCGGTAAAGCTAATGTGGTGGCGGATGCTTTGAGTAGGGTGTCTATGGGTAGCCTAGCTCATGTTGATATTGGTGATAGGGAAATGGCTAGGGAGGTGCATCGGTTGGCAAGGTTGGGGGTTAGGTTGGAAGAGGTTGGTAATGGTGGTGTGGTCGTTGTTGATGGTGCTAGGTCTTCCTTGGTTGATGAGGTGATAGCAAAACAAGATCTTGACTCTTCCTTGTTAGAATTGAAGGCCTTGGTGAAAGAGGGCAAGGTGGAAGTTTTCTCCCAAGGGGGAGATGGTGCCCTTAGGTACCAAGGTAGGTTGTGTGTGCCTTGTGTTGATGGTTTGAGGGAGAAAATTCTTGAGGAGGCTCATAATTCTTCCTACTCCATTCACCCCGGTTCCACCAAAATGTATAGAGATTTGAGGGATGTGTATTGGTGGGGAGGCATGAAGAAGGACATTGCCAAATTCGTCTCCGGTTGTCATAGTTGTCAACAAGTCAAGGCCGAATGCTTAGGGCTTGTGACTTGGAGCTTAAGGGAAGCTGGGAGGATCATCTTCCATTGATTGAGTTTTCCTATAACAATAGCTATCATTCTAGCATCGGTATGGCTCATTTCGAGGCTGGTACTCAATTTACTTCACACTTTTGGAAGTCCTTTCAAAGGGGTCTAGGTACGAGAGTTAAGCTTACTACGGCCTTTCACCCGCAAACGGATGGACAAGCCGAAAGGACTATCCAAACACTTGAGGATATGCTTAGGGCTTGTGTATTGGAGCTTAAGGGTAGTTGGGATGATCATCTTCCATTGATTGAGTTTTCCTATAACAATAGCTATCATTCTAGCATCGGTATGGCTCCTTTTGAGGCTCTCTATGGGAGGCGTTGTAGATCACCGGTTGGGTGGTTTGAGGTTGGTGAGGTGGCCTTGTTAGGACCAGATCTAGTTATGGAGGCTCTTGAGGAGGTTAGGATGATTAGAGAAAGGTTGAAGACGGCCCAAAGTCGCCAAAAGTCCTATGCCGATGTGAGGAGAAGGGCTCTTGAATTCCGAGTTGGTGATTGGGTCTATTTGAAGGTGTCACCCATGAAGGGTGTGGTTCGTTTTGGTAAGAAGGGCAAGTTGAGCCCAAGATACGTGGGTCCTTATAAGGTGATGAGGAGAATTGGCAAGGTAGCTTATGAGTTGGAATTGCCTAGCGAAATGGATTTGGTTCATCCGGTATTTCATGTGTCTATGTTGAGGAAGTGTGTGGGTGATCCGAATGCCATTGTGTCTCTTGATGTTGTGGGTGTTGTTGAAGATAATTTGACCTATGAAGAGGTTCCGGTCCAGATTTTAGATAGGCAAGTGAAGAGGTTGAGAAACAAAGATGTGGCTTCCGTTAAAGTCCTTTGGAGAAATCAACAAGTTGAAAGTGCTACTTGGGAGGCCGAAGCGGACATGCAAAGGCGATATCCTTATCTTTTCCACTCCACTCAAGCCTAAGGTATTGATCTAAGCCCTTTATAAAATCTCAGGTCTTAAGTTCAGCCCCCATGTCATTGCATACATTCATGTTTAAGTTGACAAGTTCATTGTGGTTTTACAACTATGTTTGAGGTTTTGAAATAAGGTGTAAGTGCATTGTTGCATACTTATGTGGGCTGAAATTGCCATGTTTGTGTCTCTGTCTCTCATGTACGTTTCTTTAACATTCGGGGACGACTGTTCCCAAGGGGGAGATATTGAAACGACCCCAAAAATGCCCGAAAATATGCTTCGGTAACACCTATAATTGTATTTTCCATATATCTCAAAAATTCGTGCATGTTTTCAGAAATTCGACTTCATATTCTTATTCATGGGGTCAAATTGAGTGTGCAATGGGTCTAACCCGAATTTTAGAGCAACCGCATCAAAATTCGAAAATCGCAAAAAATGTGATTTGGAGGGTCAACTTTAAAGGGGCATATCTCTTAGCACACAAGGAACTGGAAGGGCCACAACCTATTAAATTAAAGCTTTTTGAGTTAGCTTTCCAACGCACTTAGTTTCACCTCATTCCGAGTTAGGAGGAGGGAGTTATGACCAATTGTGGGTTTGATTGTGGAAACTTTCCTTTCCACAAGTCCAACCGTTTATCCTCTATTTCTACTTCAAGTTTATGGGTCCTTATGATTATTTATGAACTCTTGAAGTATGGAATTACTACTACACACCCTATTATGGTTTATTTTGTATATTATCATGAAATGGAATGATTATATGATGTTTATGGTTTTCATGCCTCAATGATCAAATTATGAAGGTTGTTATATATGTATATATATATGTATGTTGTTGGTGGGGTGATTTATATGGATTTTGGAATTGGTTGGACTTAGTACTCTTGAAATACATGATTTTATTCACATGAACAATAGCCCACCATGTATTTGATAAAATGCCCATTTATAACTATTAGGAAATGGAAGGTCCAATGTACGTCCTATGAGTCGGATGGTTATAAAATTACTGAAATGATGATGAAATGGACACATGTATATGATTTTCTCTATATAAGTGTTGTCATTCGAGGACGAATGTTCCTAAGTGGGAGATAATCTAACGACCTGCAAAATGATAGGTTGAACTAGAGCCTTGACGTTTGGATTAGTGTGACTTTACGAGGATGTGTAGACTATTTTAGAACATATTTGAGCAAGGAAGAAGCCTAGGGTGAAAGCAAGGACCTAGACTACCAAGATAGGGTGAAAGAAATCTTGTTCTTTGGTGGGCCTTTTGGTGATGGGGTTGTTTGGTTGCCCAATGATCCCCCACTTCACTTAGTGGACTGCCCACTTAGTGAGCATACTGGAAGATTGGGCGAACCAAGTGTGCATTTGGCGAATCGCCTAGTGCACTTGGAAAGCCCAAGGTTCCAAAGGGCGAACTACGTGCATGATCGCCCTTCTTCCCTCCTATCGCCCATTGACCAGCCCTTTGAGTGAGCCACTGCAACAAAGGGCGAGCCAAGGGTGCACTTGGCGAGTCGCCTATTGCACTAGCCGAGCCCAAGTGTCCAAAGGGCGAGCTCAAGCGGGCAAGGGGCATAATTTTTAAGTTGAAACTTTAGGGTCCTTAACTCTTTTCCAAATTGACCCTACACTATTCCATTCTTTTCCTAGAAACTATATAACATTTTTAAGACCTTAATTCCTTTCATTTAAGTCATTTCAAATAAAAATCAACAGAAAGTCTTCCTCTCTCAAAAGTTCTCTCTCTAGCTCAAGGAAGAAGAAGAAGAGGTGAAAAAATAGGGTTTGGTGATTTCAAGGTGGTTCTTCCTCAAATTTCTTGGAGAATCTTAGTAAAGGTATGGTGGTCTTGATCCTTGTCTAATTTTCCATTCAAGGAGCCAAATCCAAAGTGATTTCAAAATATGAAAAATCTAGTATTTTACTCAATCTCATGGGTTCTTTTACCAAACGATTTCAAATGGTTTTTAATGGTATATATTGATTGGGTTGATGTTTAATTGATGTTTTATGATGAGAATACTCCATGAACCCATGATTTTCCTTCAACTCCTAAAATGTACTTTTATGAAATGGGTTTTGATGATTATGAAGGTTTATGAAAGAAACT